AGAATTAACAGTATCAAATTTAAGGGACACCAAGGACAGGTGTGTCTGTTAAACTAAGCAGGGGGCGGAGGGGTAGTAAAGGGTAAAGGGGTCAAGTATATGGGGATAGAAGATGATGTGACTTTGGGTGGAGGACACACAGTGCAGTTATACAGATCATGTATCATAGAAATGTACACCTGAAACCTGTATGATCTCATTGGCCAATGTCACCCCAGTAAATTTTAAAAATACATAAAATAAAATAAGCAGTTAGGTCATTGGTTGCCTTGGCAAGAACAGTTTTTGTAGAGTTGTAAGAGGAGAAACAGGAGTACATAAAGAGGGTGAAAGGTAAAAAAGCAGAGGTGGCCAACATAGGCTTTCATTTGAGAAAGTGAATGAGAAAGGAAGGAGTTTGGGGGGAGGGGGTGGGAGAGACCTCTGTGTATTTGTAAATTAACAAAAAGCCAGTAGCGATGAAGAAATTGAAGATACTGAATGGGGGAGGGAGGGAGAAGGAAAGAATAAGTGATGGAACACCCCACAAGAGAATTGCAAAGGCTAAGATTAAGCACTCAGGTAAAATGAGGGGTTAGCCTTGGCTGAGAGAACACGTACCTCTTCCCTTGAAACTGGCAGGAAGAAAAGTAAGGTACAGATTTGATACCTTCCTGCCCTCCTGCTTCATTTAGCTGTTTATGGGTATCCATACTCGGTGGACTCAGTTTTTGATGAACTGGGAGAGATTGTCATCTGTTGAGGGTGAGTGCAGAATGGGCTTGAGGAATGTAGTGACAGTTTGGAGCAGTCAGTCAAGAGGAATAAGCGAGAGAACATCAAGGGCAAATGAGATATGTACTAGTGTTTCGAAAAGCTGACTTACCAGGTAGTAACCATGAAATAAATTTACGGGACCAAAATTTTGTGGTTTCCTCCAACAGTATTAAGCCATGGTGAACAAATTAGATGATAAGATTGGTCCAAGGGTAAAAATTAATATGGCAGATGTGGCAGAAATGCAGCCATAAGAGGAGTTGAGGGGAAAAACTACAGGCATGTTGAGAAGGAAGTGAGACCAGGAAGAGGAAAATAAACTTTTGAAAAAATAAATGGCAGAATTGGAGATCTCAGTGAGGCTGAAGTGCAGGTAATATGGTAGTGAGGTTTTCAATAACCAGAGGAGGGAAAAACTACCTGAGAGTATATTAGAGTTTAAGATTTTAGAAGAGGAGCAGATAAGATTTGTTGTTTTTAGTTGAAGGGTCACAGTCACCTACATAAATGTCTATTCTTCCTTGATGATGGCAGGGCATTGAAGTGAAGAATGCTGTTCACCAGTCGTCATGGTCCACAAACAAGCGTGGAGGCGTGGCTAAATGACAGCTACATGCCAGCAGCAGGCAGGCTGAGAGAAGTAGTATCCAGATATGTGAGCTTCAGATAAAAGGGTTTTGCATTAGGTAGAAGAAGAGTGATTATAAGGCTGAAACTTAATGAGGTCAAGGGCTGTGCCTGTTTTCTCATCACCCTTGCACCAGTATCTAGTACAGGGTTTGGTACATAGTAGGTGCTCAATAAATACTTTTGCTTGAATGAATTAGGAACATGCTAGAGGTCTGTAAGAGAGGCAGTGACTGAGGAAGAGACAAGTGTAGTGATTTAAAAAAAAAAAGTGGAGAGAGCAACTGAGAGTGTTGAAGATGGAGGGGAGGCTGTTTCAGTGGAAGATAGTGATTCTTGGTATTTCAAGAAAGTTAATATAAATGTTTAGTGTCTAAGCACAACTGTGAAGGCCTTTTTTTGGTGCTATAATTAGACTTTAGTAGATAACCTGAAAAAAGTATTATTTGATTTTAAAAGTGCTTTTCCCCCTTTATCTATTTTGTTAACAGAAAAGAAAAGTGAACAAGAATTAAAAGATGAAGAAATGGATTTATTTACTAAATACTACTCAGAATGGAAAGGAGGTAGAAAAAACACAACTGAATTCTATAACACCATTCCCCGGTTTTATTATAGGGTAAGTGGTATCTAAGCAAATTTCTTGCAGAGTTTACAAATAAGATGTAGTTTTTAAAATGGGATAAATTGAGGGTTATATCTTAAATTTTATGGGGGTTTTTTTTTCATTCTAGTTGATCTTACCATTATTTTGGAGCTGATAAAATCCTGAGTTTTTACATAAATTGGTATAAGAACACAGAGTTGTTAATTGCCCCCTCTTTATGAGTTATAGGCTTTTTCCCCAGAATTTTTATTATGGATATTAGTAATGGGTATTCTGTTGGATTATGGTGTCAGGCTTTTTATAAGGTTTAGAATTACTTGGCTGATCACAGTTTTTAACTTTTTTTTTATAAGGTGTAAAATGTTTTGCCCAAGGTTAAACTGAAAAATAGATTGAGAATGGAAAATTTGAAGAGTTACCCTTAATTATGTTTCCTTGTACCAAAATTGTAAAGAAGTACTTGAAGAG